GAATTATCCGGTGAATTGCTGCTGTGTGTCGCTCCTTTCCTTTCACCCATGTTCATAACAGCCAAACGGAGGAAACACCGTAACTGTCCACAGACAGATGAATGAATAAACAAACTGTGGGATATATACAATCAATGTTATATTATTCAACCTTAAAAAGGAAATTCTGACACATGCTACAACACAGATGACCACTGAAGACATCATGCCAAGCGAAATAAGCCAGTCACAAATGGATAAATATTGTGTTTTTCCACTTATAATGAGGTACCTAGAATAGTCAATTTCATAAAAACAGAAAGTAGATTGGTGTTTGCCAGGGGCTGGGAGAAGGATAGAATGGAGAGTTAGTGTTTAATAGGTACAGAGCTTCAGTTTGGCAAAAGGAAAAAAGTTCTAGAGATAGATGGTGGTAATAGCCACAGAACAACATGAATATTTTTAATGTCACAAACTGTACACAAAAAAATAGTAAGTTTAATGTGATAAATATTTTACCACAATAAACAAATTTGTTAGAACAGCTGTCCAGGCAACGTGCTTTCCAATTACAAATAGAGGGAAGATGGGATGCTAAGGAAAGGATTTATTTTAGTTGGAGATTGAAGGAATTTGATAGGAAATCGTGGGAAAAAACATTCTAGACTCTCGCCTACAATTATGATCAAAGTCAGACCTATAAAAATGTATGGCAAATTGGAAACCTTACAACACAGCAGGAGAGCTGTGGTGTAAAGTGTGTGAGCAGTCATTAGCAGATATGAGCTCAGGAAAACAGATTAAGGCCGAATCACTGAGGGCCCTATGCATCATGCTAAGAAATGCTGATTGAGTCCTCAAGACAACAGAACACTTTGACGAGTTGGGAAAGAGAGAGAACTGAGAAATCACATTTTGGAAATGCAGCTATGTAAAGAAATGAGTAGAGGCTCCTGTGATGGGAAAGGTGGCAGATGAAGTCTTGGAGAAGAGGCTCTATGTGTGACAAGAAAGAGACAGGCTCAAGATGATTCAGAGAAAGCAGCAGTAAAATGGCTCCACCAAGAAAAGTATCTTAAATCCATACCTTTCTATTTTCACTGTCCACAGCTTAATCCAGGCCTCCACCGCCTCTCTCCCTCTAACCCACCTCAACAACTTGCTGGCTGGCTGCCTGCAACAAGGCTTTTCCTGACATATCAGTTAGACTGTGGAACAACTCTGCCCTGGCTCCCCTCTGCAGTCGCAGTAACAGGCCAGCTCTGAGCCTTGGCCCAGGAGACTGACTGCTATGCAGTCCTGCTCACCTCTCCCACTGCAGAGCTCCCCATTCATCCTTCCAGTCTCAATTTTCCAGTCACTCCTGCCTTTCAGCTCCTTGAACACCCCAGCTCTCACCCATCTCTGGGCATTTCACTTGCTATGGCTTTAGCCTCTCCCTCCAGACACTAGCTTTTTCTTAACCTTCCAGTTCAAGTAGCAAATGACTCAGAAGGTCTTTTCTAACCATTATGCCTAAACTAGGACTCCCCTTATGATGCTCTGTGCAGCACCCTGCTCACAGCATGAATCTCAATACAGTACTTTGAAGACCCTTTTCACGGACTCCTCAACCATGGACCATGTTGTTCACAGTTACAGCCCCAGCCCAAAGCAAAATGTCTGGCACACAGTACCGTGGTCACCCAGTAAACAGATGTCAAAATGAATAAATGAACAAGAATCAGCCATGAGTATGTACATGGGTAAAGGAAAGAAAAGAGACAAATGGACTCCAACGTTTAGAATTCAGATGGCGGGAAGAAGAGGCACTGTGTGAGTTGGGTGAGAGGGACAAGCAATGGCAGAAAGTCCCTGGATGCTGACACATTACAGGTGCCACTAGATATATATATACAGATGCTGCCAAACAGGAATCAGAAAAAGACCCAAAACAGCAGAAACTTGAAGGTAAACTATCTTTTCTTCAAAAACAACTCCTAGAATGTCTCCCAATTTGTGGGTTAGAGAAGCTGAGGGAATGATAATTACATACCAAATTTTCTATAGATAGCTGAAACTGCTTAATTTCACGAAGGGTCTCATTATCTCTTTTCACTTCATTCACATATTGTGCCAAGTCCTAGAGAATAAAGAGAAGGGTACAGAAAGAAGGCATGATAAGACTGGAGAAGGGCTGAGAACTGTTTGAAAGAAAAACACATCATTAATTTTATCAGTGGGAAAAGTAACCACCATAACTTTTCAATGACAATCAAATGAATGCCCAGTCAATCACCGCTGCCTCTCAAAAACAATTCTTAAACATCTAGTGTACAGCTGGGATGACTGAAGAGTTCTCATTCACCACAGCCCTGAGCAAAGTAAGGGTAAAAAACAAAAATAAACGAAACATGCCACCACGCAGAATGACAAAAAGGAAACTAGGTCAGGAGAGTGTAAATTCCAAACACGTTAATAAATGACCTTGAGAGAATTATATTTTTTTCACAGGGGTTAGAATAAAGGCAATAATGAAGGATGAGCAGGAAGGAAAAAAATAATTAAAAGCTAGACAATGATCCAGCAGGACTGCTCTGTGCCACCAGTGAGTGTCTTCGATCCTGAGAGCGTTCGGGCACGGAAGCCAGTTCGGTTGTAAGGAGTTAATGAAGGAGAAGGAGAGGAGACGAGAGAAACCAGAGAGCACCATGACCAGAAGTGCGTCAAGGATGTGGACATGTCTCTCCATGCGCTTTCACCTATTTTAAAAAGTCTTTTCTCATATTTGAGGAAACATGAGCCAATCTTTCCATACTGTCACTAGCTATTTTTATTATACGTGCTCCAGATTTTACTGTTTTCTGAGGTGTTTTCCCTCTACCCTCTTACAAATTCATCTGGAACGGAAGAACTCTGACAGAAAAACAGCTCTTACCTTTGCTGCAAATGAAAGCCTGACTTTTCATAGGACACACTATAAATGACTTCTTTAGAAATTTCAAACTTGGCATGGTGTTTTTTTATAGTAACAATCGCATGATGTTTCCTGGCAAGGCACTAAAATCAACTGAACAATGGAGCTAATGCTGAAATGGGTACAGGGACACAGAGAAGTGTGCATGGCCCTCAGCAGAGCCACATTCACATTTTAAGAACACAGGTTTGCTTATGTTTTAAGTTAGGTGCAAATATTATTTCTTTCAAAGTCCAGCACAATGTGTAAATTGGGGTTTTAAGATTCCCCAATATGCTCAAAGTCTGATTTTATCCACTATAGTTCTAAATTTTCATATTTACCTGAAAAGAGAAACCCAAACTGAAATCCACTGGTACTGATGCACACCATCCACAAATGGAAACCTGGCAGAAATCCTCACTTGAAAAATAAGCCACGCCAGTGTTCCGAAGTCAACTACTGATCCAAAGTCTACTCAAGCCAACACTTTTCTATTAGTGACCATAAAAAGACTTTGAACTAAAACCATTACATTAGATCATTCCTGATGGTTATGAAAGGTGTCATACTTTCATGGATAAAAAACTTATTTTAATACACCTCTTGCTTTTATGTGTTTTCATCCAACAAATCCAAGGAAGAATATCTATTTCAGTTAAAAATATCCAGTTCTCCCCACTAATAACAAAACTATACAAATACATATGTCTATTATAATATATATTGGCATGTCATACATATGCATCAGCCCCTTGTACTCTTTGTTTTTGGACAACAGTAAAAAAATCCAAGCATGTTAATGATAGATTTGCTTTACCTTCATTGCGTCGAGAGCCAGTTTCAGATTTGCCTTCTCCATAGGATCAGTGGTATGCTTCACCAGTTCCTATTTGGAAGATGGAGTTTAGTACTACTTTCATCAGATTAAAACCAAAACATAAGAAAGAAAACATTTTTTTAAAAGAATTGTTTTTTCATTATCCACATGATAATGTGATAAATCTGATAAAACTGGTTCTCTATTTTCACCAAAAATTTCAAACTGAATGAAGACCAACTAGATCCCCAAAACACATGAGACAATGGTTGGAAACATTTTCCTTCCAAAGATGAACCTGAACTCTCTCCCCCTCATATTACACTGACAGTCTTCACAAATGTTAGGGAAGATGCCTTTATTGCCAGCCGAATTGGTACTTTTTGCTCAGCATCAAACTTAACTTCTCCATAGCCTTTGATTCCGCTGACCCCCCCACTCCTCTGGCTTCAGGCACATCAGGATCTTCTCTGCTGTTACTGTTGGTCAGTTCATCTTAAATCTCTTCATACTCAGTGGTCTTTCATACTTTCTTCTTTATCTGCAGCTTGGAAAGTTATTGTTCCCTAGATTTTTACCTTACTCTTCTGTTACACATACTCTACAAATCTACCACAGTCATTGCCATAACATTAGCTCTCACCTAGCCAGACTGTCACTCTCAAATAAGTGTACTCAGCCCAAAACTCACACCTGAATCCCAGACTAACACTGCCAATTAGTTCTTTCTACCTGCGCATTTCACAGACCCTGCTAATCCAACATGTCTTAACTCAAGACATTTTCACCCACAACCCAACTCTTGTTCCTGTTCATGTGATCATACTGATTACATTGATGGAAGGGATATCATTCAGTCACTTAAGCCAAAACCTGAAAGGTGTCCCAGTCTTCCTTCCCCCTCTCCTATACTATGCTCTGGTGATATTATCTTTGATCCTTTCCCTTAAAACCATCCTCACTGTCACTGCCTTGGTTCGTGTCCTCACTCTTTTTCAAATAGTTCATTATAATAGGCTTCCAATTGATCTTCTGACTTGCAGCCTCTCCCCACTACAATCCAGTCACTCTACTGACATCAGTTAGGTTTCTAAAATATAACTCAAACCCTGCCTCTACCCCATTTAGACTTCTGGGATGCCCACAAAGCTTCAGCTTGACATCTATACCTGTTAAACCCCTAATGATTTGAATTCTGCAAACCTCTTCCAACTTTCTCTCCATTTTCACCCAAATAACCAATATTCTGCCCATACTTAACTGAAATTCTCAAAACATGTTCTAATATCTGATTCCATCAAGCATGCTGCTTTCTCTCATTGGAAAATCCTTCCTTTCCAGATGCATTTACCAAACTCCTATTGTTCCTTCAAAGCCCAATTCAAGTTTTTCTCTGTGAAACTTTCTATGTCAGAGGCCTGTGCCCCAGCTTCCTTAGAAAAAACTGACTAGGCCTTTATTTGTATATCTCTGTACCTTCTGCATACTTATCACATTGCAGTGTACTTGGCAGCTTATATTTCATTCTCTCACCTAAATAGTGAGCTATTCCAGTTCACTCTACACTATTTCAAGATGGAGAAAATTTTCTAGATGTTTATGCATGCTACCCCAAATAAAATCTTTCCTATTTTAAAAAAAATTAGTGCCCAATACTGTGTGTGGAACAGGGCAGCCACTCAAAATTCTTTGCTGAATTTAAAACCAGTAGTGTTGGTTGTAAACAGGAGTACAGATATCAAATCTGTTAAGTATAATACTTGTCCAAGCAGTATTCTTTTACCTCTATTTTCCCTTTATTAAATAATAATAGTAAATTATTTCCAGTTTCAAACCCCTTACTATAAAATATTCTAATTTTATAAATCTGTGAAATAAATCATATTTTTAAAATATTTTTGTTTTACAGAAAATATAAAAGTATTTCAAAATGATTTCCCAACTAAAGTATAGCAGTCAGCAGGAAATGTTCAAATTCATATCAGTTATACAACCAATTTTTAAACATTAGACAAATAAATTATACTCTACACTATTTCAAGATGGAGAAACTTTTCTAGATATTTATGCGTGGTGCCCCAAATAAAATTTTTCCTATTTTAAAAACATCATGTAACTAAACACACTTTGAAATTCAAAATACAAAATAATTCAAAAGGAATTAGGAAAAAAAAGCTCACTGAATTTCAAAAAAGTATAACCCTACTTTATACTCTTCTAAGTCTGTCTAAAACTGTGTAAGTGACCAAAATAGATGTTTTGTGAAAACTGCACCTTCTAAATTCTTCAATTGATATTTGACTATACCAAAGTTATGAAATAAATTATCTTATTTTGAGCATGTTTTTAGTTCTACGATGTCTCAGAAACAGATTGCCTGAGTCTTCCTTATTACTTTTTCATAAAATCCAATTTGATTAAGTTGCTTTGAGTTTAGGTCTCATAAATGTTTTAATGCATTTTTAAGGAATAATCAGGGTTTGAATTTTTCTGATTCTCAGTAGAACAAAAATAGAAATGACTAATAATTTTGTGACTACAGTTCAAGAAATTTAATATACAAGATGTACAAAGCACAGTAGACTCAAAATGATATTTCACATACAGGTAGTAGATCTTTTTAAAATGACATTTCACAAGCATCAGCAGAGTTGACAGACTAATACAGCACGACATTTCTTTGGAGCAGAACTAATGAGTCTCCTGGTATAGCTATCAAATAAAATTTATAAGACTCTCCACCCTCATTAGAGAACTAATCGTGGAAACCATAAGCTTTGAGGTTCTAACAAGAATCACTTCGAAATAAAGGCAGTCATATTATACTTTATTATAGCAGAAAGCAACACAGAGTGTGACACAGTTCTCTGTAGTTTATGGTTATTAAGACCAAAGGTCTAATACAATTAACCTGCCAAAATTCAGACTCACTGCAACATTGAGATTCTAATAAATGATTAACACTAACTACAGAAGACTTGGTTGAAGAGGTCTTTTTACTTGTTTTTACCTTGTTTTTTAATTTTTTTATTTTCTGGAGCTCATTCTGTTGAAGGATATAAAATGTGACTTTGTAGAAGACACAGAATCACCTCTGCTAAAAGGAAGAAAAACTTTCCAGCTACTCTGTTACTTCAAATGCAGTTGAATATTATAAGGGGACAGGGCCACACACAGGGCATATCTGAAGTATATTTGATGCTTCATTAATATTTTGTTGAATGAATAAAATGAACAAATATTTTTTAGGTTACATACCTGGAGGAGAAGGTGATACTTTAAAACACGTTGCATAGGAACCACAAGCAAATCTCGAAGAGTGAATTTCCCATTATTTGCTCTTTTAGAACATTCCTAATGAAATGTTTTTTAGAAATGTTTTTTAGAAACATTTTTTAAAACTTTGTTAATTTTATCAAGGGAGTCATAAAACAAAGATTAAAAGGTGCAAAGGTCATAAACAAAAGTATTATATAATAAATATTGTGTTTTCCTTCTTAACAATCTAAAAAACGGAGAGTATCTTCAATTTAAAACCAAAAACACACACAAACTTGGTACCATTTCAACTCTAAATACGAATGAGTAAGTAGAACTGTTTTATGCTTGAAAATTATTTCCTCTAGTGGCCCTCAAGCATCTTCCTCTGTTTACCCGTATGACTCCGGGGGGCCAGGCATCAAGGCAAATCCCTACTCATGGCACCAGCCCTGTGCCTCCCCCACCACCAGCCTTCTCCAACTGCCATATGCTTTGTTCAATTTCCAAAACTCATCATCCCCTTCAAGAACTATACTTCTAGGCCTTCAGTAACAATCCCGATCAAAACTGTGCTGTTTCTCTGTGCCTTGTGTCTTGTGATTATCGCTGTACATCATATCTACCCCAGTTTGTCTTTTAAACCTCTAAGAATCTAGTATTTGTTTAATAAATATTTGTTGAACTAAATGAAGCAAAATGATTGACTCAAAAAAATTTGATGTATGAATCAACTACTGAATTCAAAATTTTCAAGTCTGCAATTTTATTTTTTTAATATTTTTTTCCTTTCTTAGATGTTTATCTCAAAATATTATTGACTTGCTCAGTCTTTTGTCATTGACAATGACTTTGTCTGAAGTGTCAAAGCCTGAATTTAAATCAAGTTTGGCAACTCTTGGCTGTATAACCTTAAACACAATTACTTTTCTGACTTTACTGTTTCTCACATATTTGTGGTGTAGTTCAAAAAAACACAATCAAATTGTTATTACTGTTATCAGTAAGCAACTTGGTAAGTCCAAAATCCTCAGAAAATTGAACATTCCAGAACAAGGAATTTTCCAGTTTATGGAAGGAATTATGTTTCAGAAAATACTCCTTTGCTCGTGAGTTTGTTTCCCCTTTACCTGCACTTGGCTTTTCTGGCACATGGAAGGATGTATTATCAGGAACTATAAAGCAGATACCATCAGCTCTAATGGCCACAGTGACTTAATGAGCGCCTGACCCAGATCTTAAGCAAGAACTGGGGACGCATCCTGACAAGTCAGCTCATGTCTTGCCAATTGCTGTGGTTCACTGGAAGGATAACTATTTTGACCGATTTCTTGCTTCTACAGACTGTAGAGAGTTCTGGATCATGGGTCTCGAATAGGAGGTTAAACTGTTAATATTATTGTAATTAATGAGCTTATCTCCCCAGATGCATTTTAAACTCCTTGAAATTGAGGTTGCATCTTACACTTCAGATATTATGCTATCTGAACACAGTGTTAGAAGCAGTAATGTTACACATTTAAAATTTACTCTGTTACATTATAGAAGTCAGTTTAAAACTTTTGGGGGAAAAATTAGTTTCTGTTAAGTTCTAAATTATAGGCTCAGTAGGTAAAGAAACTATATTGCTTGTGTTTCCTACAACTGGAGCCTGAGAATGAGGTGTTATTAATATTGAAAGTAAAGAAAAGATAGAAGTGATTCTTCCAAACCATATGGTCGTATGGTTAGCCTAAACTGAAAAGAAAAGAAAACAGAGTGGGAATGAGCCAGCTTATAGCACAAAATGAAGAGATTCTGTAACTCTTTACTCCATGTTCTCTGGGACCCAAAGTAGAGAAGAAAAAGACAAAAATTGAAAAAAGCAGAAATACCACAAAACAGAAGACACAGAGGAGACACAGAGACCCCAAGAATAAGGCAGCTTTCCCTCCATCATGCTGGACTTGCAGAAGACATTTCCAACAAAGAGTGTTCACAGAGGTGTTACAGTAAGTATTTGACTAAATACTTCCAGATCAGGCCCGTGGGCAGCAGTAAGGCCTTTTCAGTTGAGGGATGACACACAACAGCACACCACCTGGAGCCTGGCAGCCTCAACCTGAGGTCCTCTCTTTCCCTAAGACTGAAGCGCCTGCAGAAGCCAGTCCCTAGAGTCTCAGAAGATGTCACTGCACAGGACTGTGACAGTGACTCGGAAAGAAGGGAGGGGAACATTCAAACAAGGCTGAGGATAAAATGGAGGCTTGATTGACAACTTGCTGACTTCTGTCTTGAGCCAGAATTTTATATCTTTACAAAAATTGCTTTTATGGTAGCTCTATTAGGAACTAGTTGCATAAATTATAAGTTTTGTCTTACCATATTTTATCTGAATCACAATGACTTACAGTTCTACATTTATGAGGTTCTATTCTCCAAAGAGGAGCAGGAACCCTTTATGCTAACAGGATGTTACTTAGTGGTGACTGAAACCATCTCTAGATATGGTCCACATATTGAAGAATTGTAAGAGGTAAGGATAGAAGACTCGTGATGCAGAGTAAGTACAGCCATTTGTCGATGTGTAAACCATCTAACCCATCATTCCCCTTTGTGGAAGTATACCAGATATGCTAAAACAACGAAGTGGTTCTGATTTGAAAATCATCTGCCTCTTTTCCCATGTTCATCACCTGACCTCACTGCAAAACTGAACATAGAGCAGTCAAGGTGGCATTAGAGTCAACTAAGATACGAACAGCCATTTAAGAGTTAACTATATATCTCTACCTGAAATTTAAGACAGTCCAAACATATGGATAATTGAGCTAATTCATATAACATACAATCATTTTTCAAAAGCTCTTTGAAAGTGCACGACTCTTATGAAAAAAAATGATGTACCAAAAAAATTACTCCACACACTTTTCAGCTTTATTTTCCATGGTTACCATGTGCTCTGTTTACAATAGCCTATGTGCCATTCTGTACTCAAGACACATCAGTTCTTCCACAATGCTCTCCATGGAATCTCATCTGCCTAGACTCACTCCATTTTTCAGATGTAGACCAAATACAATTCTTCAGAGAAATCTTCCACATTCTACCTATACTGAAGTGATTGCTCAGGCTTATTTATGGAGCCCTGTCAATTACTGCTTATCACATACCACTTAATCTTATTATATTTGTGTCTTCCTCCATATGGGCACTCTCCATGTCCTTTTTATATGCCTTCTCCTAAATGCCTTACATTTTTCATAAACATTTTAAATCTATATACACATTATCTCATATATCTTACTTATCCTGTGCCTCTTACCACCTGGGTGACCTGGATCAAATTACTTATAATCTCAGTGAAACTCAGCTTTCTCATGCATAAGAAAATTAACTGTATTAACTGTATACATCTCAAAGAGTCATGAGTGTCTAATGAGATAGTGCATATAAAACACAGAGCCCTAAGTCTTAGATTTTATACTGTTATCATTACTACCATATTATTATTTTACAGATGTATCTATTTAAATATTTTATAAAATTGACATGAAATTGTATTTAGAATACATGAGGAAATTTACTGCATTGATGATGAAAAAGAATATATTGCTTTTAGGTTTATTTTACTTTATTTCATAAGTAAACAAAAAATAAACAAGTACCTCTAATTTCAGTTTCACATCTTCTTTTGTCTTAGAAATGTTGTCTAAATTAGAGATGGCTAACTCCACCCCACTGCAGTACTGCCCGTAAATAACCAACCTGAAAGAAAAAAGAGAGAGAAAATCTGTAGGGCAAAAAAAACAAAAGTGAAGTAGAAAGGAAAAAAAGGCAGAATTTCATCTATTTAAAACCCCAGTTAGGGAGAATCAAAGCGAATCTTGCTTGTCCTGTACCCCTTACTGCCTAGGTCACACTGGGCAAACCATTCATACTCTCTCTGAACCTTGGGTTTTTCATTTCTTTTTAACACATACCATATATACAGTCAGAGAATGAGGGTCCCTCACATTTACAGTATTAAAAATGGCTTTTATTTTTGAATATGAATGGGATTAATTCCATCTACCTTTTTTAGCAAGTAAATTTTACAAACTGGCTTAAAAAATGACTATTACTGTTAAGTACACATTTTATCACAAAGTCAAAGTCAAAAATTTTCTGTTTTAGTTTCTATTAGAGATCAACTTATTACTGTTTCACTCACACTCAGAAGCAGTTTTATTTTATACTACATTTTTATTGTAGTCACTACTTGTGACAGCACTCATTAATAAAAATTGCCTACTCCTTCCTACTTTTTAATTCAGGAAAATGCATTATTTGCAAAGTGGGAATGAGAGGCCTGAACTGTGCTGAAGATAACTCCTATTGCATGGAGTCTGAGCCTGCTTCAGGAAGGGTATCTCCAAGTAATACAGATATTTTACAAAGAGGCTGAATAGTTTATTGTTTCTATTAACTCTTTATTGGAAAAAAGCTACTAATAAGTTAATGTTTATCTAACTGCTGATGCAAAGCAATTCATTAGCCACTTCTAAGTCAGTTCTAGGAACGATAGTGTTTGATTTATAGGGAATTTTAAGTGATATTCCCTGACACTATAATTCACGGGAGTTGTTCAGCTGTTTTTTCAAACTTAGAAAAGGAAAGTGACTGTAGCTGTGAATCTAATACTCCAAAATAGAGAATCAGAAGATACTAGACTTGGGAAAATCACTAGGTACCAGCTAATCCACCCCTAACATTTACAGATAGAGGAAAGGAAGCTCAGAGAGTTAAAAAGACTTCCTGAAAATTAAAGAACTCAGGGACAGGGTCTGTAAAAGAACCAGCAGCTTCTGATTTGTAATGCAAAAGTCTGAATCCTTTTTCTTTTTGCTTGTCCCTGCCCCCATAGACATAGAGAGCTCAAACTATTACACTGAGATTAACTGCCCCATGTTCCAATTACTGCCCTGGTCGTATCTTAATGAACAGCTGTAATAGCTATTTATGAGAAACTTCAATACTAAACCTCACTACAATTACAAACTAATAGCCACAAAATTTTAAATTCAAAAGTTACCTTTCCTTGTAGTTAATGAAAACTTGATACAAGTTCTGGTCATTTTTATTTACAATGGAATCATTAATCTCTTGCATTAAGTTCCGATGAACTTTTACAAGTTCCTTAGAAAAGAAAACAGTGTCAAAGGAATTAGGAATCAGAACCAAAAAATTCACCCCAAACACAAAATCCCTACTGTTGCTAAACTTGCCATTCAAGAATATGCTGAATGCCCTCAATATATAAACCTGCTACCAACAATAAAGAGAGGAGGAAGAAGGAGGGGAAGGGGGGGAAAAGGGAGAAAAGAAAAAGAAGGGGGAGGGAAGGCAGAGAAGCCATGTGCATGGAAAGCGGCAATTTTACATCTGACTTGAAATGTCAGCATCCAGTGAAAAAAGAAACAATCTCACTACTTATTAAAGGGTAATTTATTTCTTGTATAAAAATATGGACAGCTCATTTTCATTTTAGAATCACTTTAAATTTTAAAATAAAACTATCCAAGTGCTTAATGTTTTATTGACAGGATAAAGTAATGATTCATGTCCTTGGAAGGTAAAAATGTAGATTTGTACTCTGGTCAATTAGTGATGTCCTGGTGCTAAGCTAACAATAATCAAACTAAATTACTGGAAACCAGACAACTAATGGCATAAATATGGAGCAAATAAATTGTACTATGCAATTTACTAGAGTAACTCAAAAGTCAGAATTTCACATTTTTCCTGATAAGCAAGTGATTTTCAGTCAGGCAGTAAATACTTGTCACATCCAGGAAATGAGGAAATTTGAACGAAGGTGCCAATTTTCCCACTATGTCTTCCCTGTCCCTTCGGACACACACTTAACTCATGGCATGCCTTTGTCTTAGGAAGGCAGGCAGGAAACATGAATACATGGGCCCTATCATTTTGATAAGGAGATGGAGAAGCCATAAGAATAAGGATGTCAAATGCATCATGAACTTACAGGGATTTTATTTAGTTGGTTTGAGATCCTCACCTTCCTAACATGTGCAGTCTGCTTTATGCTCAACATGCATTTCACGCAGTGACCTCTTTCTTCCTGCTGTTTTACACATCAGTGAGAATGTCTTCATCTGGCCAAAATCAGGTACAAGGACAACATGCCACATCTAACCAACAGGTGCCCATGAACACTGAACATAACAGAATCAAAGTACTCGGGACCTTTCGGTGAAACCAGCAAGTCTGTACAAAAAAGCTTATACCTTGTATACATAAGCTGTATGTTAAAACTAATGTCAGTTTTTGAAATCCAAGAACTTGAATTTTGCCTGCCATAACCTCACTTGGCATAGCATTTGGCTTGTTTCAGTGCTTCTGGGTCAGTATCCTTTTAGGATTATAAGGTAATTATAAGGTGCCCTGAAACCTAAAATGCTTACATAAATGTAAAGAAAATCTCCTTACATCTTACCATTCAAAGGGACTGATAAACCATAAGAAAACAGTATATTTCAGAAATGGGAGTTAAGGTTAGTACAACTGGAAGCAGAAAGCACCAAGGAGCAGAGGCTAGGAAGTGGAGGAGATTGACACCATCAGGACAGTGTCTGTAAGACTGCCTGTGAGGCGGAAGACAGTGGCACAAGGGCTTCCACTAGACAAAGAGACAGCAGACCAGAGCTTAGTTAACTGAGACTACCTTTCCCTGACAGGCAGTTAAAGATAATAGATGAGTCTTATCCATGTGTGTTCAGCATGCATTTTGACTGACTTCTGGCTGAAGATAGGACATATCAGTTATTTCTAGAAAATATGGTTAATTTTGAATTCACAAGGCAAAAAAATCATAAAGAATACAGGAGAAATTTTAAATTATTTTTAATAATCTGGGATCTGGATCTCTATAAGAAAATGATGATTTTATAGAAGTATACCACAAGTTTAGCTAGCATATTTTTACTCACAGGAATGTTGATGAATACTGAATCAAATTCTGCTGCTGTCAGAAATCGTTTTAGTGGTGCCATGAAGTACTACCAGGAGAGAACAGAGAAATCGTAACTCAGTACAATGTATCATAATCTCTATAACAGTTTTCATCACCAAACAATGAATGTATTTTGAAAGTCAATTGTTCATCAGTATTATGAATACCAAAAAAGAGCAGAAACTATTTTCTTACAGATTTTATACTTGAACAGAGATAGAAAGACAAATACAAGTTCGTACATTTAAAGTATAAAATTAAAAGTTTAGGCAAAAAATGCCTCCAAAAGTAAAAAAGAAACCATCCTTGGCTGAACTGGCATAAAATAGTCTCCAGAGGTGGCCTCAAAGTTCTCCTTTAACAATATTCATTCCCTAGGTGATCTCATCTAGTCCCATGGCCTTAAAAGCCATTGTGTATGATAACGGTCCAATCTATACGTCAATTCAGCCTTTCCCCTTAATGCCAACACCTAACTCCCTCCTCAGCACATCCCCTTGAAAGCTAATAGATAATGCAAATGTAATACATCAAGAGACACATGATTCCCAAACCTAACCTTCCCCATCTCAGATACCATCTGTACCATTCAGGTAGTTATTCATGGTAAAAACCTGGCATTCTTAATTGTTTTCTTTCCCATATATTCTTTACTTAATTCATCAAATCCACTGAGCTTTACTTTCAAAATTTATTCAGAATCTGAATATTCCTTACTAGCTCTACCAATACCACCATATTCTGTCAAGTTGTTACTGCAATATCCTTCTGACTTTTCTCCCAGTTTCCACCCTTGCTTCACAAATGTCAGAATGAGATGTTAAAAACTTATATTAGATCATATCATTTCTACTCAAAATGTTCTAGCTCTGAGATCGATGCTCCACTATGCCCCTACACAATCGGGGGCTCGCCAGCTCTCTGATCTTACTGCAACCTTTCATTCTCTCTGCCTCAGACACCTGGACCATTGCTGTTCCTTGAAACACACTGAACACCATCCAATGTGAAGGCCTTTCCTCCAGGAACTGTCATCTCTGGGATATTTGCACGGCTTGCTCCTTCAATTCACATCACCATTTGCTTAAATATGACCTTATCATAGAGGACTTCCATTACCACTTTATATAAAATAATACCAGGCTTCTCCCCTCACTCTCTATCCTCCTCCCCTGCCTCATTTTCCTTCAGAGAACTGATCACCCCCTGGCATACTTATGTGCTTAAATTATAAGCCCTCCCCATGAGAGAGAAAATATCATGAGAACCAGTTTTGCTATGTTTACTGCTATATCCTCAGTCCCAAGAATTGTGCCATTCAGATACTAAGAATTTCATAAATACTTATAGAATAAATAAATCAACTTTGAGATCATTAAATCTCAGGTTCTACCAAAAATTAGAATACACGGAATAGAAACATTGCACCTAATGTATTAACCCTACAAGGCAGTATTCAGGCATCAAGAATAATACTGATAACTTACTTTTTCTATTGACTCCAATGTTTCTGTATATTTTTCTTCTGTCTGCTTAATTTCTGTTAGACAGCAACTTCGGATGTCATTTTCTGGACATTTCTGCATTAGAATTATCAAGTTAAAATTATTTAATCAAACTCATGGAGTAATTTATCTGACAGTAGATAAAAGAACTCAAAATTATTGATTTTCTTAAGCTTTCCATTACAGTAAAAACACATAATTGAAAGATACAACTGCATTTGTGAAGTACCTTTGTTTCTTTTTTATTTTTGAACAATCTAAGTGAAAAAGTTTTAGATACGAAAAAATGATCTTCTGAGGACAGACACTCTTTAAATTGAAACATCTCTTTTCTTATAAACGTTACTGAATCTGGAATCATCACAAATGGTGCAAGAGAGCTTTCTTAATGTATAGCATACAAGTACTATAGAAATAACTGCAAAAATAATAAAGGATATTTGGTAAGTAAAAATCCTAAAATGTTTTTTTCAAGAATTAACATCTTGGTGTTTGGCTCTTTTAGTAAGTGTTTAAGACTGGAGGTAGTAGAGCATAGTATAAACATCAAAGGTTCTAATATCAGGTAACACTGGTTTCAAGCACCAGTGTTTCTATTATTAGCTTGTTATTATGAACAGGTTACCTAATTTCTCTGTGACTCAGTTTTCCCTGTTTGAAATAGAATTATAATACCAACCCCAAGGATCTGTAAATGAGATAACCTATGCAAAGCACTTAGCACCTTGAGGATGGCACAAGAAGGGCCTATGCATTTAAATTATGATGACTGTCTGCTGTGTCAATACTGCCCTTGAGAGAGACTCTGAAGGATGTACTGGTACCCAAAGAAGTTGATAATTATAGGGGGCACAGATGATACTCTGTCCCTTAAAAACTCTCTTTAAAAATGTTGCAACAGGCGGCCTGTCAGCTCATGCAGTGAGTTATGAGTTAAAGCATTCATTACATTTACCAAACACAGGCCAGGTAACTTGTTTCTGTCCACAGAAGGCCCTCTCCCTGTCTGGGGCATGGGACAACCCACCAGCCTTTTATTAAAGGCAAGAGTACACAGAGAGCTGAGCAGATTCATCAGAGAACCAAAAAACCCAAACCACTGCCCAGTTGATGAAGAAATGTCTTTTGTATAAAAAAAAATGCTATATTAATAAAAGCCTAAGCAACTGACTTTTGTTTTAAATTACAGATGAGAAAATAATTAAAATTCTCTATGTTTTAGATATTTTAATGGCAGGTAAAACTTTATGGGCTCATACTATGGCAATATCAGAAGCTAAGTTTATAAAATAGTAAAAATGCTAAGAGACCTATAACGAAATGAAAGAAAAAACTACCTCATATGAACCCCTAACAAATATGAAAAGATATTCTTTAACATATATTCAATGCTACATCAAATTTAAGGATTTACCTGTCTCATAAGAGATTTCCTTTCATAACGATATAATTACATGATTTCCTGAAATTATGTTCTATTGCCACTCTGCCATTATGTAGCATTATGTGGCATGTCATTTATCTCTCAGACTTGGTTTCCTTACTTGTAAGATGAAAGGATTAGACCAGAGCTTCCCTATGGTTGGTATGAACTGTAAAATGCCATGTTTATGTATCTCCAAATGCAATAACAAGTCATGGTTCTACAGTTACAAGCAAGCAAAGGTAAAAAAGAAAAATGAAAAACTATTCCAGCAGAAGTTACGTAAATAATTATATTAGCTAGTCTCTTAAGGCATCAGTTTCCTAATACTCAGAGTAACTTAAAACACAAGGCAAGAAAAGTCCTACGGGCTGATGCGCTTCCTCTGCTTTCATTAAGTCCTCATAGACTTCTCCGCCTTCGTCTTCCCCATAAACACAGTCATAGAGACCTTCGTCATCTTCCACAAGGGTTTCACTAAAACAAAGGGTATAAGATAAAGGTCATTTTCTATTACACAGCAAATGCAATAGCTACAAATAGCCCACTGGATTTTAGTTGAAAATCCAGAGAGGAAATAAAATGGAATTAGTGAGTCAAAAGGCTTACATTACAGCTCTGTCTCTATTAAGAACGAATGACGGACAACAGAATCCAGCAATGATGGCAGTGGTGGCTCACGCTCACTGGGCGTTTGCCATGCAGAAGCACAGCATCACTCTGCACACATCAGCCCACCCAGGTAGCCCAGGCCCAGCACTGTGTTATCAAGCAGGCATGATCACTGGATCAAACACAGAGGTAAGTTACTTGAGGCAACAGAAGTGGTAACGCAGATAGTCAATGGCTGAGTCAGGATTTAAAACGGAGTCTGTCTTACACTCTTTTAATCAGCCTATCGTAGTGCCTCCCATTTTTCCTATGTCAAGACCTCTGTTTCATCATCGGTATTAAAGTACACAATATGGAGGAGAGAGGAGAGTTGGGGAGGTTCTAACATTTTATAAATGGTCTTTTAAAAGCATCAGCTTATGCAGGGTTATTACTTCCAAAATCTAATGCAGTGGTTTTCAAACAATGTGGCTTCAAGCCCACTTAGATGGTAGCCACAGGTCCCCATTCAACCAGATTCTGCTACTATCTGCTTTGTTTGTGTTATTTTAAGAGAAATGGTTTTAAAGCCACAAGGCATTTTTAAAAACCATTCAAATTTTCAGTTGAAAATGATACCTACTTATAAAGCTTACATGAGCCCTTACACAGTGACTGATGGCCATATCTGCCCTAAACTTCACATGAGATTATAAACCCATTCAGACAGAGTAGAAACATCTGGTTCCACCCACATGTTCTGTAACTGCTCATTTTTTCTTTCAGTTCAAGACTTCTACAAATAGCTTCTATTAACTAATAATCCTAAATTGCGATTAATAAATTTACTTATGCTAGAAAGAAGCATTAATATTCCTCTGAAGAACAAATTCAGCTCCTTCAGTACTGCCAGCCCTCAGCATCCCTCTTGGTCCTCTGCAGATAAAACATTATTAACTGATATGTACAACAATAAAAACATTGTAACTGTGTCACTCTGGAACTTAGAGAATTTTTAAAAGCAGGATCACAGATAGTCTGTGTTTGTCATGCAGGATTATTTGGAGGCATTTGACAGGAATGAACTGTCAAACACCCAGAAGAAAGGATGGTGCCTTAAGGGAGGGTAAGGCGCTGGTAACAGAAGTTTTAGAAAACTGTGCTCTAAGAAAAATTCATTTTAGGGTTACCCATCTACCCTGTACCCGTCCAGCAGGACATTTACTAAGAGCCTACTGAGTGCCAGACTCTTCATGCCAAGAATGCATAGATCAAGAAGAGACAAGGATTTTTCCATAGTCTAGTGTGGAAAATTACACATGAACACATAATTCTGTCTAAGTATAAGAAGAGAGATGGGGGCAGAATGCAGGAGCAGAGAGAAGAGTAAGAATAACTGACTAAGAAAGTCAGAGGAGGCTTTGCAGACATGATATCTAAACTATTATTTATTGAATGTATTTATCAATTTATTCAATAACTATTTGCTGAATAAATATTATGTCCCAGGAGATAGGCTGCAGACTAGGGAGACATAGTTTCTGCCCTCAGGGGTGACACATACCAAATGAGAAGAGGAGAAGAGCATTCCAGACAAAAGACACAAACACGTGCAAAGGCAGAGAGGTGCAAAAAGCCTGACAGGGTGGCGTCCCACTCAGTGTGACAGAGTAAGTGAGGTGAGCCTCAGAGGGAAGAGCTGACATCAACTTGTGAAGGGTCTTGTACCTTTCCTAGGCATCTGGGAATCAACAGGGAATTAAATATAGCGATAGTGTAGAGGGGGACAGGAAGACAGGCAGGGAAATCAGTAAACCAAGAAATGAAATACTGTGGGTAAGAAATACTGAGAGCCATAACTGGGGTAACGGCAGGTAACAGAGAAACAGACTTAGGAGACCATCACGCAGGGCCAACCAGACCTGGAGAGAATCAGAATTAGGGAGAGGAAAAAGGAGTGAAGGATGCCTCTCAGCTTTCTGCTTTGGAAAACTGGGGAGATGGTGAGTCATTAAGCAGTTCCCAAGTTTCCATACTGAGGGACTTAGGCAGGCAATCTAACCAGAGAACAGGGGGCAGTTAAATTGTTCTGAGCACTTTCTACAAAACATTAAAGGACAGAAAGGTCTGATGAGTTCATGAGAGAGCTGAGATAAGAAATGAAGGAACAGGTTATGCATCAAAAGGAACCCTGTTCAGAAGACAGACTATAAAATCCATTTCCCTGGTAATCCTAATCCCAGCATACCTGCCTTTGACCCTCTAATCCAACTCTGCCCACCCCAAAAAAACGCTCATCTTGAAGTTATCCTTTGACTGTTTCACATGAGGATAGAAGCACATACTGTATAAACTCACACACATTCTTCTCTAAAAATTGTAGGAGATACAACAACTAAAGCCCAAGCAACAAAATCAAAAATAAGCAAGCAGGACAACATCAAACAAAAAAAGATTCTGTACATTAAAAGACACCATTAACAAAGTGAAAACATAGCCTAGAGATGGGGGAAAAAATTTGCAAACCATATAGCTGATAAAGGATTAATATCCAAAATCATAAATAACTCATACAATTCAATGGCAAAAAGCTACCCAGTTAAAAAATGGGTAAAGGGTCTGAATTGACATTTCTCCAAAGAAGATATACAAATGGCTAGCAGGTACATGAAAAGATGCTCAACATCACCATTCATTACACAAAAGCAAATTAAAACCACAATGAAATAGCACCTCACACCTGTCAGAATGGCCATCAACAAAAAAAGAAAAGATAAATGCTGGCATGTATGTGGAGAAAGGGGAACTCTTGTACACTGTTGAATGTAAATTGGTGCAACCACTATGGAAAACAGTATGGAAGATCCTCAAAAAATTAAAAATAGAACTACTGTATGATCCAGCAATTCCATTTCTGAGAATATATCCAAAGGAAATGAAAACACTAACTCAAAAAGATATCTGTACCCCATGTTCATAGAAGCATTGTTTACAATAGCTAAGACATGGAAACAACCTCTGTGTCTATTAATGGATGACATTAATATACATTATTCAGCCATAAAAAAAATGAGGAAGTCCTTCCATATGCAACAAAATGAATGGGCCTTGAAGGTATTATGCTAAGTGTAATAAGTCAAATAGACAAATACTGCATGATTTCACTTTTTTGTGGAATCTTAAAAAAACCTCATAGAAAAAGAGATCAGACTTGTGGTTACCAGAAGAGGAAGGTGGGAAAGAATTGAAGAAAAGGTACACACTCCCAGTTATACGATAAATAAATCCTAAAAATGTACTGTACTTCATGATGACTATAGCTGAAGATGCATAATATACATGAAAGTTGTTAAGAGAGTAAATCTTAAGAGTTCTCATCATAAGGATAATTATTTTTCCTTTTTCTTTTTTTTAATTGCATCTACATGAGATGATGGATATTAACCAAACCTACTGTAATCATTTCACAAATTACATAAATAAAACCATCATGCTGTGTGCCTTAAACTTATACAGTGATGCATGTCAATTCTTTCTCAATAAAACTGGGAAGAAATTCTTTTTTAATTATAGAAGTGACATGCATGCATGTATGTGTGTGTGTATATATATATATATATATATATATATATATGCAGGCATGTGTACTTGCACGCACACACACACACTCAAGATTGAGTTATAACACGTGGGGTTTTGTTATTCAGGCCCTACTAAAGCAGCTTTTCTTGCTAACAGTTGGTCATTAACTTCTGATTTGCATAAAATAAATCCAGGGGTGGAGTAGTGAGGGAACTGATCCTTCAAATGGTCAGCAGATCTGCAAAAATCTATCTAAGTTTTTCTGTGTCCAAGCCACCTATGTATGGGCATGTCTGACACCTAGATCATAAAAGTAGGAAAAGCGAAGACATCTCATGCCCTCTCCATTCCATCCTGCTTCTGTTTCTCTCAAGCAGGAAGGGAATGGGTTCCCTGAAGCAAGGAGCAAAACCTGTGTTTGTCCCAAAGGCTTCTTCCCTGTGGGCAAATTCACCAGTAAAAGTTCAAGGTAAGTATATAAGGCCAAAAACAGCATAACAGAGCTGAGACGACAAATCAAGCTGCCATTGCAAACTCAAAAACAAACATTTGCAGGTCCATTACGTTTGGACCTACCACCAGATGGAGAGCTGAAGTCGACTGCAACTTAGGTGGTTTCCCAGAGCAAGCAGTTCAAGAGCTGAGAGTTCCTCCAAACTTAGCTAGGAATGCATACACACAGGATCTATCGTGACATCAACAGAACAAGGTGGGGGGGAAGTGCGCAGGGAAGGGAGCTATAAAAATTAGTAGGTTTATGTGACAATTGGTGGGACTTAAAAAAGAGCATCACTACAGTTCTAGAAATAATACATCCTTCCTGATCCTTCAAAGCATTTGACTGTGTTACTAGTAGCCTTACAGTCACTTTGTGAAGATGGTAACCAGCTCAATGAGATGATCAGCATCTACCTTGCTTAAGATCGGTGAGTTCTTAGAAATTTTAAGAAGAGATAGGAAACTATTCTTAATGCACATTTAAAATACAAGACTTTGAGGCCCACCCAAAAAAATGCCACCTCCTCTGGGACGAGCTGGTGGCTGGCCCCACCGCTACTGTCAGCAACTTCAACTGAAGGTTCCTAGAGTGCCTGTGGGAGTTGAGGCAGTGAGGAAGAGCCTCCACCCTGGGATATGAACTGTCTCGGTTCAAATGCAAAGACTACTATATACAAGTTATATGATTTTCAGCAAGCTTCTTAGCTTTTCACAGTTTGGTTTTGTCCTTTGTAAATTGTGATGGTAAGAATGACAACCTGGTGGTGTATCATAAGACAGTGTACAGTCAACGTTTAGCACAGAAACGGGTGCTCGGCAAGCTCCTGTGAACTGACTAGATAGCTCAGGCCTGAAGCATAGTGCCTGGAACACAGTGGAGGCTGAATGCAGCTGTGGCTCACTCATTCAGCAAACATTTGCTGAAGACCTACTACACACCAGAAACTGTTTGAAGTCCTAGGAAGACAGCCAAAAACAAGGTGAAGTCCCTGAGCTCACAAACCTGACCTTCTAATGAGGAGACAGACGATAAATGAAGCAAGGATTGTCTCAGAAAGTAGTAAGTGCCATAAAAACACAGAACAAGGTGAAGGGGTGGTAGCAGTTTGCAGTTTTAGATGGGGTGGTCTGGAAGGCCAGTCTGTGGGGCAACATCTGAACCCAGACTTGACCGGCGAGGAGTCAGCCACAAGGGCAACAGCAAGTATAAAGGTCCCAGAGCAAGAACAAGCTCAGTGTGTTGGTGTATTAGGATGGATACACACATGAATTGCCACAGGCTTTGACTCACCCTTGGAGCATAATCTATTTCTTATTACAATTCTTTGCAAGCATGCCTGATCTTTGTCACCAGTTCCTTGACGGTTGAGGATCACGTTTTATATTTATTTGTAATCTGCACGAGTCACTCAATCAGCAGAAGATAATCAGCGGCAAGGACCTTTTGCCTCTCCTGACTACTAAATAATAAATCCTAAAAGGATTCTCCGATCAGAACAAACACCGTCTAATGGAACTTCCCTAAATAACTCCAGCCCCCACTAATCTCGCCCTTCCTTGCTTCCAAAGCATGCACTCTCTGTCCTACAGCTCCAGTAGTAGAATTCTCTTTTTCTTTTTAAATATTCCTTAGTTGTCCAATTACAGTTTTATTTACTACTTCTGTTAGACTGCTGAGAAACTTCCAAGCTTACTTCACTGCAGCACGTTTCTTTACTTGCCATGGTGACTTGCACAATATGGGGCATGCGACAAGAACTAAAAGCTGGAGGAAATACATTTTCTCTAAGCTTTCTATCTCTAGTTCAAGGTTATTTCTAATATGTCTTAATCATTAAGCCACTTTTCCCCATCAGAGAGCGACTTGAACATCCATGGTTAAATTCCACAAAAGATGTAAAACTTGGCAGTGGTTTGATTTTGCTCAAAATGTCCAACATACTCGATTAAATCCGGAAGGCCTTTGTAGATGTCTTCATTATTAACGCTTTCCTCTGTTGGAAAGGGCCTGGGAGGGAAGGAAAAAATAAGTAAATAAAAGAACAAGGGTAAATAAGCAATAGCTAGGCTGGGCATTTTTCTCAATAAATGCATAAGCTCAGCAGCTGCCTACACGGTCGGATCAGTCAACATGTTTAACACAGTGTCCTGGGCTTCTCCAAAGGGCCTGCCCTGTGGCTGTGTGTGGGGTTCCCCCCTGGGAGGCTGTGGCACCTGCTACCCCAAATTACCTGCAGAAATTACTGCCGGTCACCGTGAACAGTTGTGGACATGCTTATATGCTTATGTGCTCATCTGACCTCCCACTGGCCACATGACTGCAGGCTTTCTCCCATCCCCCAAAGAAGCCCCATGCCTTCAGCACCACCTCTTTTCACTTACAGACTCTGGTCTGACGGACAAATAATTCGGTAACCGCCATCCTTGTATAGCTCAGGTTCCGAATGTAGATGAAAATTATTAGAAAACAAAATCACTGTGCCCTTTACATGTGATTACTGACTCTGCTATCCTTTTTCTACTCAGACTTTAAGGTACTGAAGCTGTATTTCTTATTTTCATTTATTGGACAAATGAGTCAACCAGACCTCAGGGAGCAGGGTGTTTTCTTTGTCTCCTGTTCAAAAAAATCACTTTAATTTACCACCCCTATTCCTAGTCATTGGCTTTCTTTTGTACCAGATGCTCCTATGAACTTTTTTCATAACACCAACATAATGCCCTAAAATCAAGTCTAACAAAATTGCAATAATTATACTGTAGTGCCAAAGGTCTGACTCTTCCTTTACATGCAGTCAGAATGTCATGTTTCATAAAGACAAGAGGGTACATCAAAATAACACTAAAAAATACTAAATAAAGTATTAAACAGCAGACTTTCACATTGGTTTATGAATTTGACACAGACATATGAGGTACCTATGATTTCCAAATAAATTAAAGTGTGTGAGAAATGCCTAAGTCCCAAACTATTTTTTTATACTTTTTACTATGCTCTTATACCAAACACAAGTCCATTGTAGAGGAATTTGAAAATATAGGTAAGAATAATTAAAAAGGAAAAAACCCTTCTGATGCATAGTATTTCATAATCAAAAACACATACACATAAACATATAAAAATAGAATCATGCTATTTCAAAATCTGTTTACATATAACAAATAAAATACATACTGATATGGAAAGATAATCATGTATCAAAGAGCAAATTACGAGGCACTGAATATTTATCCAGCCTACAGAGTAGTTGTGTACAAAGCCATGGCCCACTTCCAAAAAAGGGTCTGCATGGCGTCCTCCCTGAGGGATGGGCTGCCTGGCCACTGATGACCCTCCTGCAAGACATGTTTGGATCTCCTCCCTTAGAATCGGATGGGAGCTGGACAGAAAAAATGGAAGCGACAGAAGAAGAGATGCAGGATCAAAGGACCCTATAATGGCTGGAGACTGAAGGATGAAGCCCTGAGCAAACAAGGTTAAAAGAAAAAAAAAAAAAAGAAAGGAAATCCATTCCATTCCCATGTGGCCTGACTGTGTGGCCACTGCAAGTATTTTTTCTTTATTTCTAATGTTACTAACAATAAGCTTTGTGACTTATCTAACTTGAGTATGTAACATTTTAAACAGAAAAGACCCAACATGACATATGCAGTTACATGTCCATGCTTATTGACTGCATAATACTCCACTGCGTGGAGATGGCATTATTTATTTAACCAATTTACTTCTGGGTTTTTCATTTGGTTACCAAACCTTCAATACACATCCTGGTTCATATCATGGTGTACTTGTCTGTTTACTTCTAAACTCCTAAAAGGTGTGTGAGTTAGTGTTATGCTCTGCAGGAAATAAATGTACTATAACAATTTATTTACTCATACATTTGTGTTTACTTTGATGAATCACATGTACAGAAATAGTGGAGAAAGCTTAAAAAAAAAAAAGATCATATCAGTAACAGTCACCAGTGAATTGAGAATAATATTTAGCCAATATGTTTTATTCAACACTATGAAGTTCTTCAAATGTGTATTGGACAGGCACTCTGCATGAATAAGACATGGGTCCCCGAATTCAAATTGCTTTGCAAACAGTGACCATTCAATAAATAATCATTACCTTGAACTAATGGGACACATGAACCACTGAGAGAAAAACCTTACCTGATTCCTGTGGCCAATGCTATAGGTGTGCGGGAAAGTCGCGATAACGTTTCTATAACCTGAAAAGAGAAGGAAGTGTTAATTGGGCATGTATTTCAGAAGAGATGAGTCTTCCAAAATAGTAGTTCTACAATCTAATATTAACAATGGCAGCAGGAAAGTACATTTGCTGATACCCACGAAATATAGAATGGAAAGAGCTATGACTGAGAAGTATAAACCCCTGAGGTGTAGCTTTGTGCCTTTCTGTAAATTTATGACTCTAAGCAGAATACTGACCATCTGGTGAGCAGTTCAGTAAAATAAGGAGTTAGATGAGGTAACCCTAAAGGTCTCGTCTCTTCACCTCTACAGAATCTGAAAGACCCTAGAAAGCTGCCCTGTCCATAACGGCAGTCATTAGCCACAGGAGGTTATCCAAATTTAAATGAATTAAAATGTAAGAAACAAAAAATTAAATTCCCTTGTTGTACTAGCCCCATTTCAAGTGCTCGGTAGCTACCAGCTAGTGGTTATTGTATTGGACTACACAGACGTCAAACATTTACAACATTATAGAGAGTTCTACTGGACAGCCCAGCTGTAAAAGCAAAAGTGTAAATGTTACAACCTCAGGCAAACTACTTAACTTCTCTGGGCTTCTAGTGTCTCATTAGGATACTGACTATAATAATAGATTATTATAAGAATTAAAAAGATAGTACCTATAAAATATTTAAATGGTAGCTAGTCTTTATAATTGCCAACTTTAAGAAACTTGCTTTATTCTGAGCATTTTCAGAAAAAGAGCTTCCCAAATTGCCCTTGATTATCTGTATCTCTTTTCAAAGATTCCTTACGAAGATCTTCAGTCCCTAAACCCAAATGTGCTCTGCTATAGTTCTAGCATTAGTACCCAGCAATTTTACCCTTCCTTCCCCTTTATACCTAAGATGATCTCTTTCAAAGACTTAGTGAGGAAGCCCAAGAACTAAAACAGATTTTTCTCATGAAGATTTTTTCTATGATAATAGACAAAATTTGTCCTCTCAAAACTAAACAAAACTTAAAAAGGTTCTATGATAAGGCCTATTTGGAATAAGGGGAAAAAAAGGGAGAAAAGGCAAAAATCTGTTTCTGAGTTAAGGTAATTTTCTAATTCTTCAGTTCAAAGATGGAAATATAAAAGTAAAGTCTCCTCCTATTCCATGAGGTCTCATAGGGGTATTAGCCAAGCACAGACTTCTCTCTTACCCTACTTCAGGAGGTACCATTCTGCTGTGCTTAGAAACTCACTGCCTAGAGCAGGAATACCTGAATAAGCCCTGGCTCACAAATTTTCAGCTAAGCTCACCTTCACTGGGCTCTACAACATGTGGATAACAACTAAGTACCTGCCTCATGGAGCTACTGAAAAAATTAAATGAGATGATACCCAAAAGCATCTTCAATGAGTCTGTAAGTTCGGATGATCCTGCACAAATAAGTTTATCAAAATAAACTGATTCAAAATAAAAACAATCATTTGCTAAAAGTCCAAAATTACACATTACTGAAAGAGCAAGCTATGGAGGATTGTGGAATAATCTGTGGAATAATGTTCAGACTCATGAATTAACTATATTTTTAATTTTTAACATCAGCCTTATTCTGATGTGGCGCTGTTTTCAAGCTAGGGGGTGAAATCTGCCTCTGATTCTATTTTATACTGTGACCTGCACATTGTCACTACCTAGTAAGAAGAAAAATAGCAACAGCATTACTATTGCTATGTATTTTACTACTGCTGTGTATTTCACTATATTTTAATAGGAATTCATTTTATGCTTTGGGGATATTTTCAATAATAATAACGATGTATCCACAAGATAAGGATGCCTTTTCCCACCAACAACCAGAGCTATCGGATCCATCCCCACGCAGACTGGTTTGATTGGTTTGTGTTAGATGTCCACCAGAGGGAGCCAGAAGATAATATATTACTTTAGTCCTGCATTGATGTGTTTTATAAAGAACAAATATTCCTGAAAATCAACAACATGAAACCAACTCCTAGTGTTTATTTAAAGGTACTAGTTATCACCATTCAGTAACTGAAAAATAACAGAGATACACATTCAGTGGAAGAGAAAGATAGAAGAATAAAATGTCTCAAAGTGAACCTCTCAGGTTATCACTCAGCTTTATGTCCATTTTATGGTACGTTGAGTCCATCCATTAATTCTAAATTAAGCCAAAGCAAATAAAGGCTTTTTAGTCAATGTAATGTTTTTAGAATGGTGTGTATTCTATAAAGGTGGAGTTTATAGTCAATGTAATGTTTTTAGAACGGTGTGTATTCTATAAAGGTGGAGTTTATAGTCAATGTAATGTTTTTAGCACGGTGTGTATTCTATAAAGGTGGAGTTTATCTGGCTTTGGATAGACAAGTGCATAAATTAATGCCAGATTCTCCTGCCATTAGAAACATCCATTCAAGAATAGTTACAAAAGAAAATATCTAAGGGCAGTTAAGAAGACTTTTTACCTGAAACATATTGATTTCTAATTTGTTACCTCAAAAGAATATAAAATTATTTGCAAGTTAATAGGCTAATAAACCAACACCTAAATCCACATCGTGGATTTTCTTTCTTATGTCCATCCCTTGTTTGATAAGAAGAGTGGCATTTGCAAATAAATGAAAACAATTCCAGGTAACATAAATAAATACTTTGTGAGAGGAGGGCAGGGCTTCTGCAGACCTGCTTTACAAGCATGGACTAGATCCCAGAATCTACAAAGGATCATCGAAAAACCTTAAAAAAGAAGATAGCAAGGTCAAAACTGCATTTTTATAAGATCAGTCAGCACTGTGAAGGACAGACCAGGGTAGGACCTGGTGTACAGACAGGGGACAGTAAACCCATGGGGGCGGGGGCAAGGTTTCCTCAATCATCCTGATGAGAAATGAGAAGTCTTAATGAAGCCAGCAGCAGAGATAGAAAAGAGTTAGAAACATGAAATATGATAAGGATGCTGGCTGATGCATGGTGGAGCCTAAGGAAAGAGAATCCAGTACCATATGCACAACCTAGAAGAGCACAGAGGTGGCCAACCCCACACTGCCTACCTGAAAGCCTCCGGACGCTTCCAAGTAGGAGGCACTCATCCTTTCTGTGTCCCTCTATGTGGCTGACCACATACATCCTGAGCTCAGCCAGGCTATTCCCTCCTCAGCGCCTTCTCTGGATGTCTCCCACCTCTGGTCTGAACCCTTTGTTCCCACAGGACTCTAGACATAACTTTGCCGTATCATCTTATTTAAGAAATTATTTGCTGTTGAAAATATTTCAAAAGGACTCATGTTTATTCCGTCAAAATGAAATAATACAGTAATATACAGAAGTTGTCTCCCCCCATCTCTTCCACCTTCTGCCCAAAAGGGAGCCAGAGCTAAGAATACGATGTGACTTGGAGATCTTTTTCCTTTTCTTTATGATTATTATTTTAAGGTGATGTGTTCCTTTTAGACAGATTTGCCAGTGACATTATCATTTAACAATGTATCACAGTCAGTTGTGTCACATAGACGTAAATGTCTTTGTTCATTTAAAAGTGGCATAACATTCCAGCATATAACACAAAGACTTAGTCGTTCTTCCTCCAAGCGCCCAAAATGGGCTCTTTCAACATTTTGCTACCAGGACAACACTGCAATTACCATCCTTGGCAAATATTTTTTCAGTTGTGTGCAGGAATTTTTCTATAGGAAAGATTTGTAAATGGAATGACTAGGTCAAAAAACAAGACCAATGCTCTTCACAAAGTCTGCACAGACCTTACACCCCTGAGGAGTGTACCAGAACATAACAAGGCATTCTAATGACCTGTTTATTTCTCTGCCACCAGACAATGGAAAATACCTTCAGGGTAGGGAAACCAGATTGTTTCTCACTCTTCTATTCCCATCACCTAGCTCACAAACAGTCCCATAACAACCACTTAACACAAAAATTTTTGTTGCTCAAACAAATAAATGACTAATACTTACCTTGCAAAACTGTTGTGAGACAATATGTGTAAAGATACGTAAAGAGCTCAGACTGGCACAAGTGGGGAATGAATGAATAATTGAAAAAGCCCATTATGAAAGTTAAATATTAAGAATGAAAAAGAGTTTCCTATCTCCTCAAAACTAGAGACAACATAAAGAGTAGCAACCCCTCCCATCACAAAATTTTCCCCTAATGATGATTTTTATTTAGTTTGAGCTCTTTATTTTTACATTCCCCATTAGTCAGTGAAAACTGTGAAATAAAAAGGTTTTCAGGAAGAGAATTGCAACACTGTATGCTAATAAAGCTACCCATTTTAACTATTCTCTTCATGAGATCTTCTGGCATATTCTCACTCTCTGCTTATCAGGCACATTAGCACTTTTGCAATTGTCATTTGTAATTAAAACAAGTCATCCTGGAAGCAGTTACTTTGTGAGGTCTTGAGCTAAGGAAGCTATGGCGGTAGAGAATAACTGGAGGCCCAGCACACAGGTCTGCCAAAAAGTAATGATTAATTATGGAATTATCTCCTTGAGTTCTCTGTTCTTAAGTTTACCTCTTAACCCTCTCTCTAACCCAATGGGAATGGATATTAGGATTCTGGAACAGGGAGCTGGATTCAGTGGGAGTTCCTGGGGGAAGTGATCTCACAGGGAGGTTGGCTCTGCAAGGGCAATCAGAGGGCTGCCGGCTGGAGCCCCAAGTGCAAGACAAGCTTACACTTCCAGAAGGGTCCACGGCATCCCAGGGTATGACATTACCATGTAGCAGCAGAAGCTGGGGCAGGGATGCTGCATCAGGTTCCCACATGCTCAGAGCAAGTGCCCTGCGGGGCCGTGGAGGAAAACCAAAGTCCCAAAGGACACAATCGGGAGTGTGGGCTGGGTACTAGCTGAGTAAGACGGAAGCACAGGCCTGTCAACTAGAGCATGTGCAGCCCAGAGCGGGTCCAGAGGCCACTGTAACCCAGGCACGCCAGACACCACATTCTCTGACAACAAGGCCTAATGCTAAACCTGACCAGATGGCTAATTTCAGAT